AAATTTACTTGCATTTTTCTTATTTAATCCTCACAGCTACACCTTGTGTTGGCTTTTATAATTATCCACATACAGGTGTATCTTGTTTTATTGTGTTTCACTTTATTGTGCTTCACATTTATTGAGTTTTTTTTACTAATTGAAGATTTGTGGCAACCTCGTGTCAAGCTAGTCTATTGGCACCACTTTTCCAACAGCATTTCCTCACTGCATATGTCTGTGTCATATCTTGGTAATTCTTGCAATATTTTAAACATTTTCATTATCATTATATCTGTTATGATGATCTGTCATCAGTGATCTTTAATGTTACTATTATAATTGTTTTGGGGCACCACAAACAGCATCCATATAAGATGACAAACTTAATGGATAAATGTTGTGTCTGTTCTGACTGCTTCACCAACTGGCCACTCCCTCCTCTCTTTCCCTCTCTTTGGGCCTCCCTATTCCCTGAGATACAAAAATATTGAATAAGCCTATTAATAACCATACAAAGGCCTCTAAGTTTTCAAGTGAAGGGAAGAGACATGTCTCTCACTTTAAATCAAAACATGGAAATGCTTTAGCTTAGTGAGGAAGGCATGTCAAAAGCTAAGATGGGCCAAAAACTAGGCCCCTTGAGCCAAACAGCCACATTGTGAATGGAAAGAAAAAGTTATTCAAGGAAATTAAAAGTGCTACTCTAGTGAACACACAAATGATAAAAAAATAAAAGCAGCCTTTTTTCTGATACAGAGCAAGTTTTAGTGGTCTGGATAGAAGATCAAACCAGCCACAGCATTCCCTTAAGCTAAAGCCTAATTCAGAGCAAGGCCCTAACTCTCTTCAATTCTATGAAGGCTTTGAGAGGTGAGGAAGCTACAGAAGAAAAGTTTGAAGCTAGCAGAGGTTGGTTCATGAGGTTTAAGGAAAGAATCCATCTCCAAAGCATCAAAGTGGAAGATGAAGCAGCAAACGCTGGTGTAGAAGCTGCAGCAAGCTTTCCAGAAGATCTAGCTAAGATAATCAACAAAGGTAGCTACACTAACTAAACAACAGATTTTCAATGTAGACATAGTTGTCTTATATTGAAAGCAGATGCCCTCTATGACTTTCATAGCCGAAGAGGAGAAGTTAATGCCTGGCTTCAAAGATTCAAAAGACAGACTGACTCTCTTGTTAGGGGATAATGCAGCTGGTGACTTTAAGTTGAAGCCAATGTTCATTTACTATTCAGAAGACAAAGATCCCTTTCAAAATATTAGTGCTCATTGGACAGGAATAAAGATGCAGACATAGAGAATGGACATGAGGACACAGAGAGGGGGAAGGGTAAGCTGGGACAAAGTGAGAGAGTGGCATGGACTTATATATACAACCAAATGTAAAATAGCTAGCTAGTGGGAAGCAGCCGCATAGCACAAGGAGATCAGCTCAGTGCTTTGTTATCACCAGGAGGGGTGGGATAGGGAGGGTGGGAGGGAGACACAAGAGGGAGGAAATATGGGGATATATGTATATGTATAGCTGATTCACTTTGTTATAAAGCAGAAACTAACACACCATTGTAAAGCAATTATACTCCAATAAAGATGTTAAAAAAAATACTACTGCTCATTGACAATGCACCTAGTCACCCAGAGCTCTGATGGAGATGTACAATAAGATTAATGCTGCTTTCATGCCAGCGAACACAACATTTATTCTGCAGCCGATGGATCAAAGAATAATGTTGACACTCAAGTCTTATTATTTAAGAAATACATTTCATAAGGTTATAGCTGCCATAGATAGTGATTCCTCTGATATCTGGGCAAAGCAAATTGAAAACCTTCTGGAAAGGATTCACCATTCTATATGCAAGTTAAGTACATTCATAATTCATGGAAAGAGGTCAAAACATCAACGTTAACAGGAGTTTGGAAGAAGTTTATTCCAATTCTCATGGATGATTTTGAGTAGTTCAAGACTTCAGTGGAGGAAGTAACTGCAGATGTGGTGGAAATAGCAAGAGAACTAGAATTAGAAGTGGAGCCTGAAGATGTGACTTGGTACACTCTCATAATAAAACTTAAATGAATGAGGAGTTGCTTCTTATGGATGAGCAAAGAAAGCTGTTTCTGGTGGTGGTATCTACTCCTGGTGAAAATGCTGTGAAGATTGTTGAAATGACAACAAAGGATTTAGAATATTACATAAACTTAATTGATAAAGGAGCAGCAGGTTTAAGAGGATTAACTCCAATTTTGAAAGAAGTTCTCCTGTGGGTAAAATGCTATCAAATAGCATTGCATGCTACAGAGAAACCTTTTGTGAAAAGAGTTAATGGATGCAGCGACTTCATTGTTGTCTTATTTTAAGAAATTGCCACACCACCCCAACCTTCACCAGCCACCACCCTAATTAGTCAGCAGCCAATCAACATTGAGACAAGATACTCCACCAGCAAAAAGATTGTGACTTGTAGAAGATCAGATAATGGTTAATACTTTTTAACAATAAAGTATTTTTAATTAAGGTATGTTATATACCTCGTATTTTTAAACATAATGCTATTACACACACATTATACTATAGTATAATGTAAACATAATGTTTACATGCATTGAGAAACCAAAAAATTTGTGTGACTTCCTATATTGAAATATTCACTTTATTGCGGTGGTCTGAAACTGAACCCACAATATCTCCGAGGTATGACTATGTTGCATTTGATGGTGTTCTCCTTATCATTTTCAGACTTATAGACACATATTTATAGGATCAGTAATCTGGGTGTTTTGAAGGGATAAATAAAGCTGCCCTAGGAGATTTTAAGTCACCAGAACTGCAGTCTTCAGAGGCTTGTATAAGACCACTTGTTTCATTTTGGAGGATTTCTTTGGATTGGAGCAGGGCAGTTGAAACCACTTATTTATTCATATAACAAATACTTATTGAGTACCTATTCTGAGTAAGGCACTTGAGATAAAAGTCCTTTAAAAGTCCTTTCTTGAATGGGTTTGTAGTCTAGTGGGCAGACATACAAAGTAAACATTACATCTTAGTGTAGTGAGGCTTATTGAATCCATAATACTAGGGAGTGATTTAAACATCAGAATCATAGTTCTAGAGAAGGAAGGATACTGGAAATTCTTTGTCTCTTCAAATTGCTTTGTAGGACTGTGAGCAAGAATTCCATTAAAGTATATAACCAAAGAGCTTGAGTTAACTGTCCTGAGTTTTCATGCCTGGTGGGTGGTCTTCTCCCACCTGTCAATTGCTCTTCTAAGCAAAAATAACTTGGCACATCTTGGTCTGGGGAATTACTTGGGGAGCATTATTTGTGGAACATAATGACATGACATTTACACATACTTTCTGACTTTCACTGTGTAGGTTGTATATATGTGTGAATATGTACACACCACTATGTAATTCTAAAGAGTTTAGAAATACCTTTTAGTATATGTAGTTTTCTTGCTTACTTCAAATTGTCTCCTTGGAATTACTTTCTTATAATATAGTACTGGAGAGTTATCTCATCTCAAAAGCCTTTGGCCTGGGAAATGTGGGGAATTGAAGGATCCACACATACTCTGCCCAATCAGCTATTAAATGGTATGAGGACTAGGTTTTTCTTTCCCTGCCTTGGAAGGTAATGTAATGTGGAGGCAGCCCGAATTTCTGCCTTGCACCTCTCTTCCCTGCTTTCCTACATTTCCAGAAGAATTAATGGTCTTTTTTACCCATGATGATATGAGCCTTTCTCTTCTCACTAGTATAGAGTGGAGGAGTGAGAATGAGGAGCCTAGACTTCCCTGGTTTATATTGCCATCTTGTAAGTAGGATACAGGAATAAAAGACATACAGACATTTTCATTTAATTTTGATAAGAGCCCTGTGACTTGAAGTAGGTGAAATTATGGATACTTTCTTTTCTATCGTTCATATTTTCCACATGAGCATGCAGTACTTTTATAATCAGAAAGACTGCAAATATATACCACAAAAACCTTTTAATTTTTTCTCTCTACAAAATTGGAGCCACAATTTTGTTTCAATATCCTGCTTTCTCACACATTGTTATTATCTCATATGTAGATCTCCATGTCATTAAATATTCTTTGAAAAAATGTTTTATACCAGCTCAATAAATCCATATATGAGAGTAAACTAATTTTGTTTATCGTCATAGACATTTTAGGATAAATAACGGAAGATCTATACAAAGGAATATTATGGAACCATTAAAAAACATATTTTCAGAGTATTTAATAATTTTGGAAGATACTAATGATATGAATTTAAAAAGAAGTTATAAAGATGTGAAACCTGCTACCAATTTTGTAAACTACAAGCATAGATTTATTGAGATATCAGAACTGTTAACATTTTGCTGTACATCTAGATGTTAAGATTAAGGCTAGTTTCGGTTTTTATTTCACTGAATTTCAGAAAATCTCCACAGTGTCAGTACATTTACTTTACATTCAGAAAAATATATGTATTAAAAAATCATTACCGTGAGTGACCAGATAGAAAATAAAAAGGAAAGTTCGGATCAAGATGGTGGACCATACACGGCATTTACTTATCCGGTCTCATAATCCTTAAAGTGAAAAAAAAAATTTTTGTATGTACAAACTCTGTGTATGTATGTGTTGAATATTAAAAAAAAAAATGTTTTGTGAGGAATTCCTGGAAGATAGAAAGCAGTTGGAGAAGCTGTTGAGGAGGCTGGTGGACGACAGACGGCCACAGAGGAGTAAGGGAGCCGGCCAGTCTGGCTTGGGTTTGAGAGAAGCGGTCGGGGGACGCGTGAGGAAATGAAGGAGTGAGCGCCTGTGACTGTGTGGACAGAACGCACTGTGCACAGTAACCCGCCCAGTTGCTGCTGGCTGAGCGGAAGGCGGAATGGCGGGGGCGGGGCCGAGGCTCAGGCGGGCTCTGAGGGGTCGGGTTCCCGAAGCGGCAAAAACCCTGGCGCCAGAGCTAGGCCGAGCAGAGCAACATTGCTAAACCGAGACCCCGCGGACTTCTCAGAGACCCGCCGCCGCCCGTGACTTTGGCGCTGCAGCCATCGCTCTTATCCCTTTCCCGTCCTCTCCTTCTCCGTCGCCGTTCCACAGCCGCAGCACCATCGATAACAGCTAAGTGGTCAATTCGGGAGACTTAGGGTTGGGAGTCGGGGCGGGCGCAAGGCGCGGGCAGCACACGCAAGCCCGCCATCTCCTGCGGCAACTGCCACTGCTGCAGATACCTCTGCCGGGCGGGAGAGAAGAATACTGTCAAGAGGACCCCGCTGTCCTAGTGCCCACGGTCAGAGTTAGAGCGTTTCTGCCGAGCCTTGGTGAGAGCCTTGCCTTTGGGGAAGTGAGAAGAACGGACAGGACAGGATCTTTCTGTTTTCGGAGATCACGAGAAAAGATCTCATACTGGATAGTGCTGACTTTTTGTCAACTTAATCTAGTAAGTGGTAGCGTTGCTGAGTCTCCTTAAAACCCCGAGCCATGTCGCCCCCAACAGTGCCTCCGATGGGCGTAGATGGTGTGTCCGCATACCTGATGAAGAAAAGGCACACCCACAGGAAACAGCGGCGCAAGCCCACTTTCCTCACCCGTAGGAACATTGTGGGCTGTCGCATTCAACACGGCTGGAAGGAAGGCAACGAGCCTGTGGAGCAGTGGAAGGGCACCGTGCTTGAGCAGGTTTCCGTGAAGCCCACTCTCTATATCATCAAATATGATGGCAAAGATAGTGTGTATGGACTAGAACTGCACCGAGATAAGAGAGTTTTAGCGCTAGAGATCCTTCCTGAGAGAGTGCCAACTCCTCGCATTGATTCGCGCCTGGCAGATTCCCTGATTGGCAAGGCAGTGGGTCATGTGTTTGAGGGTGAGCACGGTGCGAAAGATGAATGGAAGGGCATGGTCCTGGCGCGAGCCCCCGTGATGGACACTTGGTTTTACATCACCTACGAGAAAGATCCAGTCCTTTATATGTACACGCTGCTGGATGACTACAAAGCTGGTGACCTGCGCATCATTCCAGATTCCAACTACTATTTCCCTACAGCAGAACGGGAGCCTGGAGAAGTTGTCGACAGCCTTGTGGGCAAGCAGGTGGAGCACGCCAAAGATGATGGGTCCAAGAGAACCGGCATTTTCATCCATCAAGTGGTGGCCAAGCCATCTGTCTACTTCATTAAGTTTGATGATGATATTCACATTTATGTCTATGGTTTGGTGAAAAACCCCTAAATTCATTGTGCTATTGCAAAAGTTGTGGAACTGTTAAATGTAAAATATGTCGTGCGAAATTTTGAGAACATTTTTGAAGTCAGAGATTAAAGAATTTATTATTACTTACGGTGCCTCCAAATCTTACATTGACTAGTTCCACAGTTTTGTCCGAAGTATACTTTGGTACTTTTGATATTGCCTTGTTCTGTAATCAAAATTTTAAATCGGGTGCTAATAGAAACTTGAAAAGTTTTTGTAAAATTTGGAACAATGGAAAACTAGATAAAGAAAAATAAATGGTGTACACACACTATATCCTCCACCCTCCTCCATTTCTTTCTTTGCCTTACCAATTTTTTTCTCCCCAGGTAACAAGTGTTAAGAACATAATGTATATCCTTCCATGTTTTCCCAATCCTCTTAAAGAAAGTTTGTTGTAGTCCTTTCTACAGAAACAGCAAGCCCCAGTATTTCTCTGTAATTGCTTTTCTCCCTTGACATATCCTTCTGATCAGTAGCTACAGATATCTCTCTCTCCCCCATGCCTCCCTCTCCATATGGTATAAGATAGATGTCCAACTATACATTTTATTCACATTGGATATCTGATTGTACCATCACATTTATTAAATAAATCACCAATTCCCCCTCTCCCTCTATTTCTCCTTGTCTTCCTCCCTTCTCCTAAAAGCTGCATACACAGTACATATTTATGTACCAAAATGGTACCATTTATGTACCATTCTATTATTGATGGTCTTTAAGTTTTCTCTTTTTTTTTCCACCATAGCACAGCTACAATACATACTGGTGCTTTTATTTCTATAGGGTAGCTTCCCAGAAATGGGACTGCTAGGTAGGTGTTTATTTAATTTTAAGAGATATTACAAAATTACCATCTAAAATGAAAGTGCTCATTTTCCAGCATCCTCTCCAGCACTCTTTAATGTTTGCAAATCTGAACAGTGAAAAATTACATAGTATTGTTTGTTTAATTGAAAAACTCAGTGAGGTTTTTTTTTTACCATTTGGACTTTTTTTGTGATTTGCCAGTGCTTATCCTTTGCTCATTTGTCTATTGAATCTTTGATCTTTTCCTTATAAATCTGTAGGAATTCTAACTATATTTACTATGTGGTGTGTATTAATCAGTTGTAGCCCATATGTGTTATGATTTTCTCCATTCTATCATTAATCTTGACTTTGCTGATATCTTCTTTTTTTACTTTACAGGTTTTAAAAAAAAGTTAGATAGATTCCTTTCTTCTTTTTAGCTTTTCGGTTTCTTGTTTTTTTCAGCTGAATGTCCCCACCGCTAGTCATACAAATATTTACCTACATGTTTTCTAAAAAAATTTTTTAATTTTAAGCTTTAACTGTTTGATCCATCAGGAATTTATTTTTCTATATGGAGATAGAGGTCCAAATATACATTTTGTTCATATTGGATACCTGATTATGCTATCACAGTTATTAAATAAATCACCCATTTTCAAGTTCCTGAGCCAGTATCACATTGTTTTAATTGTACTGGCTTGACCATAAACTTTGGACTCTGGTAAAGCAAGTCCCCTATCATTAGTTTTTTTGGTTTTGGTTTTGTTTTTTGTCTTTTCTTCTATTATGTAATTTGTCTTTCATTCTTTCACGTAAAAATTGGAAGCATCCTTTCCATATTTAAAAAAATTGTGATGCCTTAGAATTGTATTACATTTCTGCATTTCTGTTTAGAGAGGTATTTTAATAATAATATTAATCTTTAATACTCGAGAATTTTGGTACATCATTAAAATCTTTTGTTTTTGTAATGTTATATAGGTCCATCACATCTGATTAAATTTATCTCTATATATTTTTACAGTTTTTGTCACATTTTGAATTGGGTATTTTTTCCTCCTCATTTATATTTTTGGCAATATAGACAAACTAGAGATTTTTTATTCCTTCTATTTTCAGCTTACTAAATACTCTGAATTACACTGGGTTTTTAAAATAGAATGTTTTGGACTTTGTAGATATATAGTCATCTCACCTGCAAATAGAGATCATTTTATTTCTTATAATGTTAATATTGTTATTACATGATCTGGATTCTCCAAAACAATGTTGAATAATGATTATGACAGACATGCCTGTCTGGTTCTTAATTTTCGTGGAATTGTCTTTAGTGTTCCCTATTAATATGACATTTGCTGTTGGTTATTGGTAAATAGTCATTAACCATTAACATGTTTAGGGTATTTCTTCTATTCCTGTTTTACATAGCATTATTACTAAAAGTGGCTCCTGAATTTTATCAAATGTCTTTTCAGCGTCTATTTACAAAATAGTATAACATTTTTTTTTCCTTTAGTTTGTTGACACGGTGAATTAGAGTGGTAGATATTTGATGTTTTGAAACAAATTTGATTTTCTGGAATAAATCCTACTTGATCATGGTGTAATAAGCATTTGATACATTGCTGGGTATTATTTACCAGTATTTTATTTAGTATTATTGCATTTACATTACAAAATGAAATTGTTTTTTTCAAGTTTTGTTGTTAAAATTATGCTAGCTTTAAAAAATGAAATTGTGTGTTTTCAATCATTTTTCTGTGTCCTGGAACAGTTTAAATAGCATTAGAATTATTTGTTCTTTAAAAATTAGCTAGTAGTGAGCTGTAAAAACAGCCTAATCCTGGTGACAATTTTTATGGTAGATCTTTAATCAGCTTTCTTATCTCTTCAAGGGTAATTGGTTTATTCAAGCTTTCTATTAAAAAGGAATGTATATTTTCTGTGAAATACAAAATTTAAAGCTTTTTCTATTAACAAGCTTCTTGATTGTAGTATTCAGATGCTTTATGTCCTTCCGTGTTGCACGTGCGTATGTCTTAGGTATGTTCAATTCTGAAAACATTGTAATAAAATCATCATCTATAACAGTTCTAAGTTCTCTTTGTATTTTATTTATTTTGAAAAATTAAAACTTAATATGGAAAGCATGAAAGATATAAAAAACGTCCGTTTTTACCTTCATCCCAAATTAACAAATGTTAACATTTTGGCATATTTGCAAAATATAACATCTCCATCCACTGCAGAAGCACACACTATCATGAATTTAATGCGAATCTTGTCTATGCCTTATATATTTACTGAAAATATAAACATAGTTGAAAATAGTATTGATTTTGTGGTTTTAAAAAAAATTTCAACATGAAATTTTTTTATTAACTTTATATCGTGACATTTCTTTTAGTTTTTATTGTATGGAATCTTCTTTTTTTTAAAATTGGGATATGGATTGCAACAACAACAAAAAAACAATAACACTGACTTTAGAATGCAAGTTGCTGTTCTAGGTACTTTTGCCACTCCTAACACTCAGGGAGTCTTCACCCTAACCACAGTATTGGCAACTGAATGAAAAAGACAAAATTTCAGCTGTCAAGAAGGTTTTATCCTGGCTGTAGTGAGACATTTATCTACCACCAACCCCTGACCACAAGACTAGAAATAGACCTTATGTTTTCCCATAATTTTGGAGTTATCCCTCTTTATGACACTCGGATTAGGGCTAGCGCCAAACCTGGCACTTCTTTTATTTATTTTTTTAACATCTTTACTGGATTATAATTGCTTTACAATATTGGGTTAGTTGCTGCTGTATAACAAAGTGAATCACCTATACGTATACATGGAACCCCATATCACCTCCCTTTTGCATCTCACTCCCATCCTCCATATAACACCCCTCTAGGTGATCACAAAGCACGGAGCTGATTTCCCTGTGCTATGCAGCTGCTTCCCACTAGCTATCTATTTTACATTTAGTAGTGTATATATATATCCAAGCCATTCTCTCACTTCGTAACAGCTTACCTTTCCCCCTCCACATGCCCTCAAGTCCATTCTCTACGTCTTCGTCTTTATTCTAGTCCTGTCCCTAGATTCTTCAGAAACTTTTTTTTTTAAGACTCCATGTATATGTGTTAACATACAGTGTTTGTTTTTCTCTTTCTGACTTACTTCACTCTGTATGACGGACTCTAAGTCTATCCACGTCACTACAAGAAACTCAATTTCGTTTCTTTTTATGGCTGAGTAATATTCCATTGTATATATGTGCTACATTTTCTTTATCCATTCACCTGTCGATGGCACTTTGGTTGTTTCATGTCCTGGCTACTGTAAATAGAGCTGCAATGAACATTGTAGTACATGACTCTTTTGGAATTGTGGCTTTCTCAGGGTATATGCCCAGTAGTGGGATTGCTGGGTCTTATGGTAGTTCTCTTTTTAGTTTTTTAAGGAACCTCCATACAGTTCCCCATAGTGGCTGTATCAATTTACATTCCCACCAACAGTGCAAGAGGGTACCCTTTCTCCACACCCTCTCCAGCATTTATTGTTTCTACATATTTTGGTGATGGCCATTCTGAATGGCATGAGATAATATGTCATTGTAGTTTTGATTTGCATTTCTCTAATGATTAGTGATGTTGAGCATCCTTTCATGTGTATGTTGGCAATATGTATATCTTCTTTGGAGAAATGTCTATTTAGGTCTTCTGCCCATTTTTGGATTGGATTGTTTATTTTTTTTCATATGGAGCTGCATGAGCTGCTTGTAAAGTTTGGAGATTAATCTTTTGTCAGTTGCTTCATTTGCAACTATTTTCTCCCATTCTGAGGGTTGTCTTTTTGTCTTATCTCTGGTTTCCTTTGTTGTGCAAAAGCTTTTAAGTTTCATTAGGTCTCATTGCTTTATTTTTCTTTTTATTTCCATTTTTCTTGGAGATGGGTCATAAAGGATGTTCCTGTGATTTATGTCATAGTGTGTTCTGCCTATCCTTTCATCTAAGAGTTTTATACTGTCTATCCTTACATTTTGGTATTTAATCCATCTTGAGTTTATTTTTGTGTATGGTGTTAGGCAGTGTTCTAAGTTCATTCTTTTACATGTAGCTGTCCAGTTTTCCCAGCATCAATTTTCAAAGAGGCTTTCTTTTCTCCATGGTATATTCTTGCAGCTTTTATCAAAAATAAGGTGACCAGGGCTTCCCTGGTGGTGCAGTGGTTGAGAGTCCGCCTACCGATGCAGGGGACACGGGTTCGTGCCCCAGCCTGGGAGGATCCCACATGCCGCGGAGTGGCTGGACCCATGAGCCATAGCCGCTGAGCCTGCGTGTCTGCAACTGGAGGGGTCACAACAGTGAGAGGCCTGCGTAACGCAAAAAAAAAAATAAATTAAAAAATAAATAAGGTGACCATATGTGCATGGGTTTATCTCTGGGCTTTCTATCCTGTTCCATTGAACTATATTTCAGTATTTGTGCCAGTACCATACTGTCTTAATTACTGTAGCTTTGTAGTATAGACTGAAGTCTGGAAGCCTGATTCTTCCAGTTCCATTTTTCATTCTCAAGAATGCTTTGGCTACTCAGAGTCTTTTGTGTTTCCATACAAATTGTGAATTTTTTTGTTCTAGTTGTGTGAAAAATGTCATTGGTAGTTTGATAGGGATTGTATTGAATCTGTAGATTGCTTTGGGTAATATAACTATTTTCACAATGTTGATTCTTCAATTCAAGAACATAGTATACCACTCCATCTGTTTTTATCATCTTTAATTTCTTTCATCAGTGTCTTATAATTTTCTGCATACAGGTCTTTTGTCTCCTTAGGTAAGTTTATTCCTAGATATTTTATTCTTTTCATTGCAATGGTAAGTGGGAGTGTTTCTTTAATTTCTGTTTCAGATTTTTCATCATTAGTGTATAGAAATGCAAGAGATTTCTGTGCATTGATGTTGCATCCTGCCACTTTACCAAATTCATTGTTTAGCTCTAGTAGTTTTCTGGTAGCATCTTTAGGATTCTCTATGTATAGAATCATGTCATGTGCAAACAGTGACAGTGTTATTTCTTCTTTTCTGATTTGGATTCCTTTTATTTCTTTTTATTCTCCGATTGCTGTGGCTAAAACTTCCAAAACTATGTTGAATAAGAGTGGTAAGAATGGACCACCTTGTCTTGTTCCTGATCTTAGTGGAAATGTTTTCACTTTTTCACCATTGAAAACAATGTTGACCATGGGTTTGTCATATATGTCCTTTATTATATTGAGATAAGTTCCCTCTATGCCTGCTTTCTGGAGGGATTTTATCATAAATGGGTCTTGAATTTTGTCAACAGCTTTTTCTGCATGGATTGAGATGAGCTAAAGTTTTTCTCCTTCAATTTTTTAATATGGTTTATCACTTACATTGATTTGCATATATTGAAGAATCCTTGCATTACTGGGATAAACCCCACTTGATCATGGTGTATGATCCTTTTAATGTGCTGTTGGATTCTGCTTGCCTGTATTCTGTTGAGGCTTTCTTCATCTCTTTTCATCAGTGATATTGGCCTGTAGTTTTCTTTCTTTGTGACATCTTTGTCTTGCTTTGGTATCAGAGTGATGGTGTCCTCATAGAATGAGTTTGGGAGTGTTCCTCCCTCTGCTATATTTTGGAAGAGTTTGAGAAGGACAGGTGTTAGCTCTTCTCTCAATGTTTGATAGAATTCCCCCGTGAAGCCATCTGGTCCTGGGCTTTTGTTTGTTGGAACATTTCTAATCACAGTCTCAATTTCAGTGCTTGTGATTGGTCTGCTTGTATTTTCTATTTCTTTCTGATTCAGTCTTGGAAGATTGTGCTTTTCCAAGAATTTGTCAATTTCTTCCAGGTGGTCCATTCTATTGACATATAGTTACTTGTACTAATCTCTCATGATCCTTTTGTATTTCTGGAATGTTAGTTGTTACTTCTCTTTTTTCATTTCTAATTCTGTTAATTTGAGTCTTCTCTCTTTTGTTCTTGATGAGTCTGGCTAATGGTTTAGGAATTT